AGAGAGCAGCATGATATGGAGCCTGAAGACATCGCACAAAGTTTTAGAATCTTAAGAAAGTGTCAGAACAAATTTGACTGTCTTATTTTTGAAATGTTTTTAATCCAAGAACTGAAACCGACGCTTAACAAACAGTGCGATTCAATTCGCGCCAAATTATTTGTTTAGAGTAGTTCTTGTTAACATTGTTTTATTTCCATTTTTTTTTGACTTTATAAATATTTTTAGCACTTTTTGCATTTTTACATATTTTACCACATTTTAGCGTTCACCACATTTTTATCTATTATAACTTGTTTTTAACTTATTTATGCTAATTTAGAGAACTTTAATACACTTGAAAATGACCTCGGAGAGGTCGAAACGTCGTGATTTTTTATCGCTAATATTTATCTCAAAATTAATAGTAATAACAATAATAATTAACAATAATAGCAGTAAATTATTAATAATCATTAACGATGGCTATAAAGAGTACAGAAACCCTGATTTTTTCCTAATTTATTTTAAGACCTTGAGTCCTGGACTTTTACCCCGCAGAAATAAAACCCAGAATCCCTCACTATACAAACCAGCCCTGCCACGGTCGGCATATTGCAATACAAAATTTTTGCCACTAACTGCTCTACTTAACCATCTAAGCCCCAATATATCTACATACAAATTCTTCAGACTAATCTCCATACATTTCTTTTAAGAATTATAGCTGTAGTTGAATAAATGCCGAATGTGATAAAAGATCGAACCATTTTCCATTTGATGTTGGTCACTCTTGTAACTTAAAAGGTTAGCTTTTTTATTAAAAACTACATACTACTTTGATTGCGTTGTTTGCAGATTTTCAAGAGGAACTTGATATGGAACCAAACCCCTCAAAAGGTTGGTGCCCTGCGACCTATGTATCAAACTTCAGTTGGCCTGGGTCGAGTTTACGACGGAGCTGGCGCTTAAAGGAGTGCTTTGCACTCGCCTCGCCAGTAAAGGCTTTTTGATGAGCGGGTTTTCCCCCCGCTCATTGACCTGACGACTATGCCATACTGATGAGCTCCAATAAGGGCGAAACAGCTTTCCATAGCTGTCACTGCCGGGGTGGTATGGTTGTGCGCATGCGTAAGGTACTGGCCATACCGTGGAGTTGGTACGTGTGCTTCAGTGTATAATTTGGCTGGGTCTAGATGGTTTACTGTGGAAAATGATTTATCTCAAACAAATGAAATATTTCTTATCCATCGCATTGGAATGACTTTCCATTTATGAGGGAAAACATCGTTTAAAATGCCTAAATTTAACCTTGAATTGTTTAAAAATTTAACTTTAAACTTCGCGTACATTCATTCCAAACGTAGAAAGTAAGGTATGTTTACCTTCTATCAGAAACGCCAGTTTATTTATCCAAACAGAGTAATGATAAATTCGCCACCTTCACCAATTTCCTTCATTTTTAATTTTTGGTCAAGTGGCATGTTACGTGGCTATAATGAAACGTTAATGCACAAAAAGACCTGAAGATCAACCTCGTCTCCAGGGCGCTTTTCCCTGGCTTTGGAGGTGTGCCCCACCTCCAAAGCCTGGGAAAAGCGCCCTGGGGACGAGGTTGCCTGAAGATTTACTTTTGGGGAAAAATTCATTTTGTGCTAGGTCTCGTAGCGAGAGATATTGCCAATCAATCATACGNTATCCAAACAGAGTAATGATAAATTCGCCACCTTCACCAATTTCCTTCATTTTTAATTTTTGGTCAAGTGGCATGTTACGTGGCTATAATGAAACGTTAATGCACAAAAAGACCTGAAGATCAACCTCGTCTCCAGGGCGCTTTTCCCTGGCTTTGGAGGTGTGCCCCACCTCCAAAGCCTGGGAAAAGCGCCCTGGGGACGAGGTTGCCTGAAGATTTACTTTTGGGGAAAAATTCATTTTGTGCTAGGTCTCGTAGCGAGAGATATTGCCAATCAATCATACGCTCCGAACACACCTTTCAATCAGGCCTTTGAACCTCCGTTGAGAAAATATTATTCAGGTAATGTGCACCGGCAGACCAGTAAGCGTTTTACTACTTAACTATCCTACTTTTAAGGAGCCTTTCAACTAGTCGATTTCATTAGCCAAAGAATCGCGAAGAACCTAAAGCCAGTTTCAAAATTGTTGACTGAGACATGCACTCTGAATTAAAAACAGCTGTTTTTACTTAAAATCGCCCTGGTAAGTACTGTTTGGAATGAAACACAGATCCCTTCTTTCCTTTCAAGTCAAAGTTTTTTCGTCCAAGTTTTGAGCCCCCCCCCGGGGGGGAGGGGGGTTACTGCTGCGAATTCTCGGTGGGGGTGTGCCACTTGGTTCTCCAAATCATGACCCTATTCTCACTGCGTATATAATGGGCGCATCACGGAATTTGAGCTACATCCTTCAGATTCCGCCGTGCTCTGCGTCGCTGGAGCGGGTATGATGCTTTGCTGTCTCTTTGCTTAAACTTCCGTGTTTTGCCATTTTGTCCACGTTCCGGTGCATATCTAAGTTGCCACAGTTGTCGCGGTCTCTTCCCATAAGTTTACCGTGATGTGGTAATAGGTATGCAGTGAGGATAAATTACCATTTCAGACCAAAAAAGATGCTATGTTTCGCACCCGTTTTCAGACTGGAGATAGTGACAAAACGCAAGATAAATTGTTTACATAAAACAGAGATTATGTCATCATTGCTGAGATTAAAACCGCAACAAAAATATTTCTTTAAATCGGTTTCTTATTGGCACATTACAGTTTCTTTCTTGTTCATTTGGAATTGAAACGACGAACACAATGATACACAACCGTAGTTCCTTCGTAAACCGTACCCTATTCCAGACCAAAATGGGCAAAGTCTATACCCGTTTTCAGACCAAAATGGCGCAAAAACTCTACCCTTTGGGGCCACACATGTACCTATATGGCTTATATAAGGGAGTACCCTCCCCCCGGGGGTTTTGAGCATGGTGTTGTACTGCTTGAAACTTTTATTGAATTTGAGGAGAAGGGGGAAAGAAAAGCCAAGGGACCTCTCATTATTTATCGCCTTGGGGGGAGGAGGAGGATTTTGGGCTAAACAAAGTGAAATTTAGCCCATCCTCCCTTTGAATGTTACTTCACTGAAGTGATCCCCCCTAATAACTTTTGATGACTTCTGCGATCCCCCCCTCTGGTCTTCATTTTCCAAGCAAATTTGAGTGGTCCCCCCTCTGAATCCTTCCAAAGTTTTCAGCGATCCCCCCTTTTTTCTCTAACAGTGCCTCCTTTTCAACAAAAGGAATAAAACTCGATATCATTTGTTGTTACAGGGCAAGACTACTATGCGAAACTGCACACCGCGGGACCACAGAATCGGAGGAACCTAAAAAAATGACTGTTTTTATTACAAATTCCTTTGGCTAACGTGACAAAATAACTAGTTACAATACATGGTAACACTGATAGGCTATTCACAGTCCCCTATTATTAACAAAGATCGTCGAGATCGAGAGCTCACCGTCTGGGAGCCACTTTGTAGTATTTTCAAATATACCGAGGGGGCGGGCCTCGGGGTTCCCAAACCGCCCCGTATGGTTCCATCGGCTCGGCAGCCGGGTTCCGCGGTTCCGCCGTCTGCAGTTCCGCACATTAGTCTTACCCGTTGTTACAGGCGAGGTAGATAATCAAGGCCAACAAACAGAAGGAAGACAAATTACTTTTGAAGAAAACTTAATGAAGACCATTGGCCAGCGCAAATATGAAGACATCGAAAAGCTAGTTACACCACGGACACTCCAAAAATGTGAATCCAATACTTTGTTGCTGTCAATGAAGGTAAATAATAATAATAATAATGAAGGTACTCCTTAACGGTAGTGATTTATTCCTTGGCCCAACTTCATCCGATATGCAGTTGCTATGGACCATTTTTACATTTTTAAAGTTAATTTTTGAGACCTTTAGAACTATTTCACTTGGGTAGCCAGCAGCTTGGCAAATATAATGAAAAAAATGGTGTTCACGACTGGACTGTCTGTACACTGCTTTTCAAGCGTTTCCGATTGAGCTATTGATGAAAGTTGAAGGAAGGGCAAAAAAGGGGGGCAAGGGGGCAGAGAGAAGATTTTGTTTCCTTCCTGTCCTCTCATTTCTCCTTCATCACATTTTTTTTGCTCTCTTTCCAACTCACAACAAACAAACGCGGGAACGCTTGCTACGTAGGATATTGGTACAGGAACACGACCGCCTTTTCGACCGCTGTTTTGGAAGACCAGCAATACATATGAGGGTATATCTATGACAAAATTCAATAACCTAAATTGAAAAGAGTTAAGTCAAATCTGAAATATGCCGAGTCAAAGTTGGAAAAAAAAGACTACGATAAAAGGAAGAAATACTAAAAAAGCCACTATCATATAGGTATCACGCAGAAAAAGGCATCACGCAAAGGAGCATAACGCAAAGGCATCACGCAAAGAGCCAACACGCAAAAAGGCAGTCCGCAAAGAGGCATAACGCAAAAATGCAGCACGCAATAAGGAATCGCAAAAAAGGCAATTTGCAAAAAGGGCATCACGTGATAAGTTTACTTACGATCTAGGCCTGGATCTTAAACAGTATTATTTAGTACATACTGCAAGCAAACCGAAATGGTATTCGAACTAGACATTCCATCTTGCTCACCTCGTGAGGTGCTTATTCGGTACCTTAGGCGTGCCGTGATTGATATATTACAACAAGTCGAAAACGGAATTGACAGCGATTGCATTTCTTTCCAGCTGGAAAACTTAATTGATTTATTGTTTTAGCGGTTCTTCGTGCAGCGTCAACAGCAGTGGAAAATTGCCGTCAATCTGAGGATGGTCCCACTGTATGTGAGCAAGATGGAATGTCTCGTTCGAATACCACTTCGGTTTGCTTGCAGTATGTACTAAATAATACTGTTTAAGATCCAGGCCTGGATCCTAAGTAAACTTATCACGTGATGCCCTTTTTGCAAATTGCCTTTTTTGCGATGCCTTTTTGCGTGTTGCCTTTTAGGGTTTATGTCTCTTTGCGTACTGCCTTTTTTGCGTTATGCCTTTTTGCGTGTTGCCTCTTTGCGTGATGCCTTTTTGCGTGTTGGGTCTTTGAGTGATATCTCTTTGCGTGTTGCCTCTTTGCGTTATGCCTTTTTGGGTGTTGGCTCTTTGCGTGACGCCTTTTTGTGTTATGCCTTTCTGCGTGTTACCTTTTAGCGTGATGCCCTTTTCTGCGTGATACCTAGATGATAGTGGCTTTTTTAGTATTTCTTTCTTTTAGGGTGGTCTTTTTTTTTTTTTACCAACTTTGACTCGGTATATTTCAGATTTGACTTAAGCCTTTTCACTTACAGGTTATTGAATTTTGTCATAGATATAAACCCTCATAAATACAGCCCCAGCGACTCATATGGAAACGCTTATTGGCGCGTTTTATTCAAGCTTTCCTTTGCAGCGTGTTCTTTGTTTTCTTTTGCATTGGATCACAGGTGAACTATAAGCTTCGCAAGCTGGCAGAAACTATAGGACCTGATGCAGGGAGGTTTAAGCGACTGGCAAACTCGGTAGAAGAATTTACTTACCGTTTACTGGATCCGCTTAAAACTAACTCAGATTGGTGTAGACAATTTGGAGACTATTCCCTGGATGAAATGTTGAACGACGCCATTGAATTCAAACAAAAAAAGGTGGGGAATAAATAGTTTGATAATGTCGTAGTTAACTCCCGATAACTCGAACCAAAATCGATTTTCCCTGGATTTCCTTAATACATTTACTGTAATTTAACCCTTGCTAACTCGAATCGATCGTGTACTGCAGTGCGAAACATTAAATTTATTAAAAAACATCAGTGTCAATCGTCAATTCTTTGTCTTTGATGCCTTTTCTTCGGTCCAAGACAAATACCGTGTCCAGCACTCTATAGTGATCAGAAGAAAAGGGGAGATCACTAGAAAGTTAGCATAACTGGTACATTTCGCCGATGAGGGAAACTGAAATGGGTCTGACACATTTCTTGTTTTGTGTAATAGTTTTATTTGGTGGTTTCTGGGATGGAAATGAACGTTCATAAGAGATCATTACACTCGCGTCTCCTTTCGCGTGCGGCTCGTGTGTGACTTCTCGCGACTCACCCAATAGCGTACCGCGCGGATGACGTCGAAGTGACTAATTTGCATTTTTTGTCTGAGTTTTGTCATTTTTCTTATTTCAATGACAAAAGACAGGCAAGCATGACATTTTAATGTCAAAAGTGAGACAAAAGTGAGGAAGTCACTAATGTTAATTTTAGTTTGTTTGTCTAAGTTTCGGGTCTAAAAATAGTAACTGCGGGCAGCACTATAAGACAGCTTGCTTGCAGGCTAGGCAAATCCATATATGGGCAACGATTACGTCTCTTTCTCTATCTTTTTTCAGCTGTTCACTCACCCAGCTGTGCACAGTGAAATGAATCGCAAGTGGCATGGTCGTGCTTTAGAGCAGTGTAAACCTTGGCAGCTTAACTTCCTCACGGTTTGGTGTTTGTTTGACCTGGTGTTTTCTCCAATCCTTCTTGCGGTATTCTCTTTGTGGAGAAACTGGACACCAGGTACAACATATTAAATAGCTTATTGTCAAGAGCGTTAACTGTTTTGAGGTTAGTAGCTAAACACATCGACCTAGTAGCTTTATTACTAATTATAAAATAAGTAAGATAGTACGCGCGTTCTGATTGTTTAAAAACCTATGATTTATTGTGCCGGTAAACGCATAAGAAAAATAAACGACTCCGTTTTTCTTAAAGTTATTTTATAACAGCAATAGACCACACTTTCTATGGGTTTACCGGCATGATAACCCACTTGGGATATTGGGAGAACACTCGAAAAGCTTTTAAATCACTTGCCTTCGGCTCTTGATTTACAACCTTTTCTCATCTTCTCCCCGCCTGGGTTATCACGCCGGTAAACCCATAGAAAGTGTGGTCTATTGCTTAAATAAAACTGCCCGTCATTGTTGGAATTATAGCTCAACCGTTAAGAATTTCATGAATGACTCAGAACATATTCTTTATGCAGATTATGCGCAATTCATTCTTATTAGTAGAGGTGAAAACAAGGAAAGGTTCCAAACATCAAATATGGAATATCTTTCTTAGTTCTCACAACTTTTCAGAAACTTAAGAATTAAGTACATGCTTGTTATTTTGCTTAAGTTGCCCTGACCTAGTCTTTTAGAACAAGAAGTATTTTCGTCAAATATGGACTTGAAAAAACTCAGGTAAATTAAGGCCTGGACCCAAATCTATTTTATGAAAATAATTAAAGGGGGTGGTCTAAAACTTGATCCATTTTATATAATCCTGAATAACTCTGGGATATCGTTGACAGTAATACTCGGTTGTGAAACCTTAAATGCTGTTTTGGATTATATATTGTCAAGTAACATGTCAAAATTGTTTTCAGCTGAAAACTGAACTTCCCAGCTAAACGGCAGTCTGGTGGCTGCATTTAGGTTTATGTTGATGACACCTAAAGGCACATCATCTCTGTCCTTGGAAATTGGGAGATAGTTTTTCATTGGGGAAGTGGGCACTAGTATAAAATGCCGTATACAGTCAACTCCCTCTAACACGGACATCTTTGGGACCGGCAGTAAGTGTCCGTCGCAGAGAGATGTCTGTCTTATAGAGAGTCAACTAAAGGGAGTAAAGAAAGGAAGAAACCAACTCTAGGTGTCCGTTTTACAGAGGTGTCCGTCTTATAGAGGTGTCCGTTAAGAGAGAGTCGACTGTATTTTCAAAACCAAAGATATTTGATGAAGGCCAAGCACAGTTTGTTTTCTTTTACTATTTTGACTAATCTAATAGAGACAAACTTAAGGAACTGTAATTATAAACTGTTGCGATTTTTGCTTTTGAATTTTTGGCAGTGACATGTCACGTGATCTTATTTGCAGGCGTCCACATCTGCCAAAGTTTATGGTTCTTATGAATAAACTTTCAAACGTTGGACCACTTTTGTGTGCAGTAGCTTGAATAAATGAAGCTTGAGAAAACAGACGACATTTCGTTACGCTACCAACGGTTTCCCTGCAAAAATAGAAATTTCATGCATTCACATAAGACAATTGTTTTTCACGATACGAAAACAACGGTACAAAAACTTATTTTGGACTTCTCAACGACTCAAATTTTTGATTTTCAGAAGAGACGGAAGAGGGAGGAGTCCAGCCTTTAACAGTCTCCAGAGTGTACCTGGCTTTCCTGGAATCTCCTAAATACAAGTTTTTGCGTGATACACTGAGTTACATAATCATGCTTGTCCTTCACTACGCCCTCTGTCTGTCACCTTCATCCATTGCGTTCAGTGGATTAGAGTGGGCCATCCTCGCTTTCTACATCGGTCGTTACTTAGTAGAGTTGAAGCAAATTTCGGGCGTTAAGCAATTTTTAACACGATCAAGACAAAAAGAGGACGATAATACTGGGCTTAGCTGTCTCAAGTTATTTTCAGTATATTTCAGGTAAAGAAGTAGGAATGAACGAGTCCAAAGAAGATAGACACGTTGGAAAAAGTTCTTGAATAGTTTATACACTGGCTTGATAAGAACTACGCCTATTCTTTATATTCGTTCAAATATATAAACACCGTGTCCTTCGGCTAAGAATCTGCCAGAGGGTGAGCTGGTTTTTTTCCCGGCATAAGTTCCTCGAAAAAAAGTCGACATTATACGAGAGAGCCAGTATTCTAACATTTTACTATTATACTATTTTACTATCTTTTTTAATCAGTTCTTATCTGGAAGCGGGCGATCAAAATTCTCCAGCTATTTTCTGATTACTCGCACTACCAAATTAGTTGACGGCGCCACCGGCTTTGTATGACGTCATTCGTGCAATCTTAATTTATTATTACACGATTTACGTTATTCCTCTGATGATGTCAGTTATTGGACAATTGACATAAATCTTACACATGTGGTGCCTTGGCGCCTAATAAAAATTTTACCGGGGATCAGAAACTTAACGAAGATAGATTTTGAATCAAAATTAATATTCCCGATTATGTTTTAGAACATTTGCACAAGGAACAATGGGGCTTAAAACTCGGCCATGTTTGATTATATGTAAAGAATGACGCTCATTAATGGAGCTATGTCATGGCTGGCTTGTTTTGTGAATAAAATGCCAGTTACACGTCCTTATTCGCTATGAAATTTGATGTTTTTGATGTAAATGACAAAATCTTAGCTTTGTATCCCCTACGTATTATATCAAACGTTACAAGCAACAAAAATGAACTTGAAAGACTGTTAGAAAGGCTAACAAGTTTTCAAAAACGTCAATTGCAATCTTTTTCAATATTCTTCGAATTTGTTCATCCGTTCTAAAAAAATCCTTTGAAGTTGTTGCGCTATTTAAACCTTCTTGAAACGTTTCGAGTTTTACTCAATTTGGTGGCAGTTTCCACTGTTTGAATTTTGGTAAATTTTTCTGACACAGCACCTTTAAATTTAATTTTTTGTTTTACTCAGCTGAGTCATAGCAACTTCGAAGTGATTGTTCTTTGTTTTTATTTTGATTTAGTGACTGTTGGAACAGGTTTGACGTTGCAAGTCTTGTAATCTACTTTATAATCCTGATATTGCGAATTGCCACTTGGGTCACTGGTGGATCAGTTGCAAACAACAGAACCCTCGTTATTGCTGGCTATCTGTACAGCTTTAACACCTTGTGTCTTACTCTCCGAGCTTTTGGCCAGGTGATGGAACAACAAAAAGATGTTGGCACCATCCAGATCGCCCTTTTTAGCATCCTTAGAGACGTTCGGACAGTACTATGGCAGTTTCTTGCGGTAATCTTGGCATTCTCCATCGCTATTACGAAGATTTATATGTCCGAGAGATCGTTTATTGCCAATAAAAGTGAACGACATGAAATGTAAGAGCCCATTTGCTCAGATTCATCTTAGAATTGATACGCATTGTGGGCGTAAATACTTGCTGCAAATAAGCATCTTTAATTTATTAAAAGATGACTCATTTGCCCCCAGCTTGCAAGAGGTTAAAGTCTTCTCGGTTTGTAGTTGTTCAAAAACTGTCGTCTTCTAGAGCGATCTCTCTCGGCGGAAAAAGAGTAACCGAATTCTTCCCAAGCTCATACTGTCACGCACCGCAATGTCCAATTTGTTCACTTATTTGAGAGAGATGAGATAGAAGCAAGACTGATGAGACAAGATTTGTCTGCTACGGTACCTTTCGTTTTCGAGAACTAAAAGTCATATCTACCATCATCAATTCTAAATTCTAGCTAAGTTATACATTCTCCTTTAATTTACCTCTGGCACTGCAAACTACGTTACAGAAGTCTACTCAAATAAACGATGTTGATAAAAGTCACATATTAATTACATATATTGCTTTGTTTTTTAGTGCTTGCAAGAAACCTGGTCTTCCATGGTAGGTAACATGCTTATACGGAAACGACCGAGAAAACGAGGCTAAGAACACGATCGAAATGTATCAGTGGGAAGGGGGTATGAGGGATTAGAGGAAGTGCAGCCACCTTGTCTTGTAAAAAAGAGGGGGGCTTAAGCTTTCATCGGACAGCAGATCTCACGATTAAGGGTTGAGGATTTTTTCAAAGTGGTGCAACGTATACCATGTCATACTGGAATGTGTTGAGCCTTGACTTTCACATCGCAAACGCAATGGTCCCTTGGGATAGAAACTGGTACAGAAAAGTTTTAATGTATATTTCACAATCTTTTTCATCTAAACAAGATCACGTAGATGCATCTGCATGCTGCAGTAAAATTTGCTATCTAAAAGTGAATAACGATAATGTTTTATTTTAACTTTTCAAAAAGAGAAGCAAACGAAGAATTTTAATCACATTATTTTGTCTTTCCCCCATGCTTCAGCATGAAACAACATGGGGATACATTTTACCACATAGTACCAGGTCGATCCTGGCGCCATATGTTTTCTGCATTCAGTGATAAATGCACAAGGTTGTATTTGTTACTAGCCCTAGGGTCTTCCTAGCTGAGAGGTATGAAGATCCTAGCACGATCGAAGTGGATCGATCCTAGCACCATGTAAACTGCTTTGGCAAGGAAGATACCAGTAACAAACCAGTCTAAAAAAAATGGCGGCGGCTCGTTCAGTGGGTATCACACAATAAAGGCCGACAATTTTGGTGGGTGTTGTCACCACCTAATGATTGTGATAATTCTGCTGAAACATAGTTACTAACGCAAGCAAAGAGAGCAGCCCGCCATCTTNTGAAATGTAAGAGCCCATTTGCTCAGATTCATCTTAGAATTGATACGCATTGTGGGCGTAAATACTTGCTGCAAATAAGCATCTTTAATTTATTAAAAGATGACTCATTTGCCCCCAGCTTGCAAGAGGTTAAAGTCTTCTCGGTTTGTAGTTGTTCAAAAACTGTCGTCTTCTAGAGCGATCTCTCTCGGCGGAAAAAGAGTAACCGAATTCTTCCCAAGCTCATACTGTCACGCACCGCAATGTCCAATTTGTTCACTTATTTGAGAGAGATGAGATAGAAGCAAGACTGATGAGACAAGATTTGTCTGCTACGGTACCTTTCGTTTTCGCGAACTAAAAGTCATATCTACCATCATCAATTCTAAATTCTAGCTAAGTTATACATTCTCCTTTAATTGACCTCTGGCACTGAAAACTACGTTACAGAAGTCTACTCAAATAAACGATGTTGATAAAAGTCACATATTAATTACATATATTGCTTTGTTTTTTAGTGCTTGCAAGAAACCTGGTCTTCCATGGTAGGTAACATGCTTATACGGAAACGACCGAGAAAACGAGGCTAAGAACACGATCGAAATGTATCAGTGGGAAGGGGGTATGAGGGATTAGAGGAAGTGCAGCCACCTTGTCTTGTAAAAAAGAGGGGGGCTTAAGCTTTCATCGGACAGCAGATCTCACTATTAAGGGTTGAGGATTTTTTCAAAGTGGTGCAACGTATACCATGTCATACTGGAATGTGTTGAGCCTTGACTTGCACATCGCAAACGCAATGGTCCCTTGGGATAGAAACTGGTACAGAAAAGTTTTAATTTATATTTCACAATCTTTTTCATCTAAACAAGATCACGTAGATGCATCTGCATGCTGCAGTAAAATTTGCTATCTAAAAGTGAATAACGATAATGTTTTATTTTAACTTTTCAAAAAGAGAAGCAAACGAAGAATTTTAATCACATTATTTTGTCTTTCCCCCATGCTTCAGCATGAAACAACATGGGGATACATTTTACCACATAGTACCAGGTCGATCCTGGCGCCATATGTTTTCTGCATTCAGTGATAAATGCACAAGGTTGTATTTGTTACTAGCCCTAGGGTCTTCCTAGCTGAGAGGTATGAAGATCCTAGCACGATCGAAGTGGATCGATCCTAGCACCATGTAAACTGCTTTGGCAAGGAAGATACCAGTAACAAACCAGTCTAAAAAAAATGGCGGCGGCTCGTTCAGTGGGTATCACACAATAAAGGCCGACAATTTTGGTGGGTGTTGCCACCACCTAATGATTGTGATAATTCTGCTGAAACATAGTTACTAACGCAAGCAAAGAGAGCAGCCCGCCATCTTTAATTTCTTCTCTACTTGGTAACCACAGGGACCGAAATTTCTGCATGTAAACCAGTTGAAAGTTGAGTTGGGTTTTTCCACCTTTTAGGATCTTTTTATTGCTAGGGTCTTCTTCTGTCCATGTAAACAGACCCTAAACAAAACCCTATATATATATATAAGTTCACGGAAGTTCAGGTTTCACGAGTAATCATCGTTTGATTGCTACAGAACTGTTTCGTATAGTGCAAGGACCACACTCATCAGGCAATTTTGACGACTGAACTGTTCAACTGTCAGTCGTCAAAATTGCCTGATGAGTGTGGTCTTTGCACCATACGAAACAGTTCTGTAGCAATAAAACGATGATTATATATATATATATATCTTTTCACGAGGGTCAGGTGATTTCCTATCTGCTGAGGGCCCACTGAGATTATCATGTTTTATTTACAGTTGGTGGGCGATGTTCTCTCATCTTGGCCTTTCCTTGCTGGATCAATCTGAAGAGTCTGACCCAATGACATCTGTGGATCCTCCCTCGGTCATCCTCGCTAAAATCTTCTTCGTTGCTTTTCTTATCTTGGGAGTGGTTCTACTCATTAACATGCTCATAGCCTTGTTATCGAATACATACCAGAAAACAGAGGTTAGGACTTTACTTGTTGTTCTTAAGCTAACTTATATACACTATATAGTCGTAATGGCTAACAACAACAACAAAGAAATATTATTACTTTCTTCTACATTTATCAATTAGCCCTCTTTGCTTCCATTGCATTCGCAAAATTCAAAAGAACTTTTATCTCAAAGAGGGGCATTGAGGGCCAATTATTATATAAATATATAAAAGAGAATGTATTGATTAATTTGCCAGCATTGTAGGCTATGTGTACTCTTTATCGGATAACTGTTGCGCCGAGCACGAAAACCATACCGGCAGAGCTTCTGCTCACACGTAAAAAACAGTGATTGCGGTCCGATTTTTTTGCATCGGAGAGAAGCTGCGCCCCTCAGATCTTGAATGAAAGTGAATCGTCACAGATCGAATAGATTTGTGCCACTCTTCGTCGCAGTGTGAACAGGTATTCGGGCCTTAGCTGCATGAAGTAAATGAGCAGGAGCGAGGATTGTGACCCATTAAAAAGAAAGTAAATATTCAGAAGTGAGAAACCACTGGCAAATCCTCCCCGTCAACCACTCCGCTATGATGTTCAGCTAGACGTGTGTGAACGACTTGTTCCAGTTCTGTCAGTTATATTCCGTTACGTTGCCGTCCATCCTTGACCGGATGGCTCTTCATGTAGGCAAGAAAACTGTCTATCCGGTATGGTGGAAACATAGATTTGTTACAACTTTCGGCTGTCAAATGAAAATTAAGACGTGCTTTTGCTTATAAACATGGAGGCGTGTGTGGCCGAGCGGTTGACACATCGAAATCTGGATCTGGAGGTCCGGGGTTCAAGGCTCACCCATCGCGTTGTTTACTTAGATAAGGAACTATACTGCACTAATTGTCTCTCTTCACGCTTGTGTATAAATGGGTACCAGCGACACACTGCTGGTTGTAAACCTGCGATAGACTAGCATCCCGTCCAGGGATGCTAATCTATAGCATAGTCTATGGCCTAGCCAGGGACCTAACGTCTTACTTTAGAAAGCTGGTTTACTAACCAAGAACAAACGTCACTTAATCGTAGCCAACAGTTACCAGCGCCGTACAAACGACGTACTGACGAGATCAAGCAAAACTAACTATTAGAGAACGACTCGAGACCTGACAATTTGACTAACAATAGACGACTATTTAACTGTGACAATAGACTAATCGAAACGCACCAATTACTGATTACGAGTCTTCATAGCCAATAACATCACAGCTTAACTGACAGACGACCAATAACATCGCGACGTAATTGGCCAATCAGATCAGTAACCAGAGTATAATACCATCGACTGACGTGATACAACTCACTTTGACTCTGAAGATGACTACCGCACAGGTTGTCGAAACGTCAGTCACTGTCAACAACAACAGTCCTATTCAGGACTACGTTCACCCGGACGATCAAACTCTATAAACACAATTGATTTAGTGATCAGTGCTTATAATCCATTACTTTCGAGCTTTTGACGGTCTCGACAATTGTCTTGTCTTTTGATAATTTGTTCCTTGTTTTAATTCTTGGAAGGACAATGCTGTACGGGAATGGTCGTTCAAAAGAGCGATTACACTTCAGACGTTTGATGGATATGATCCAATTCCAGTGCCTCTCAACGTCATTTACAGCATATTCATTACGCCTCTGAGGCTTTGCAAGAAAAAAGATGAAAAAACGGTGAGAAACGCTGATAAAAAGAGAGCATTTACATGTTTTTATGAAAAGCTTTGATAGCTGTTGGGTTGTAGCTGTGACTGTCAGTTTTTTGCATCTTAACTAACCTTCACTTGACTTTTACTCGACAAGGTTGTTTATTCCATGTTTTCCTTTCAGATTTCGGGTAGGGAAGAAGACTTTGACATAGAAGATCTTGAAGTGGAATACTTCGCAGAGTATGCAAATTTCTTTCCACTCACAGGTACGCTAT